TCGGCCGACAGCGACCACTACAAACGTTCAACGATCACTAATGATAGGCACTTATCCGTACACACACTTTTCACTCAACAGCCGGTACTATTTTTGATAACGACCCTTCCCCCTTGCTCGCCTCAGGAAGTACAACTTGGACATTAAGGACTTTGGTCCTAGTTGGCGCGATGGCGTAGCCTTCAACGCCATTGTGCACAGCATCAATCCGGATCTGGTGGACATGAGGGAGGTAGCCAATCGCAGCAACAGGGAGAACCTTCACAGAGCCTTCAGCCTCGCCGAGGAGGAACTAGGCATTCCGAAACTGCTGGATCCCGAAGGTGCGTCATACAGTTTAAACCGCTAACTCTTCCCTTCTTAGCCAGCATAGAGTTTTGTCCATCAGCCTGGTTACCAGTTTCAGGTTTCACTTAAAAATGCATTTACTTTGAATTTGCCTTTGCGTACTAGATCTGCTCTTTTCTAACTTCTCCGATTCGGGTAAGGGTAGCATATAACCATGACTTTTGTTTACCTGCATAACTAACTACTAATTTCGCTGTAGTTTATTATCTAGTTTAATCCAATTTTATTATTTATTTTTATTGGATTTGGTCTAATTTAGTTTTAAGTTTAGTTCAGTTTAGTTTATTATTTAGTTTCATTAGTTATAGTAGTATTCCGGCAAAGACAGGCACCCTAGAATAACTATTCCTGGCTGTATTGGCCGTCGTCAGCTAGGGGTAGCCAACTCTAGTGTAGCCGCTGAAATTGCTGCCACACTCGAGTTTCGAACTCACGTCTCGCCGGTCAAAGGCAGACGCCTTAACTATTGGGCCACGAGTCCGCTGTCTTGCCGGTTGTTGATCGGGAGTATATAGTAGTTAATTGTACATTGATCTGTCTTTCAGGATATACCCATTCTGGTTATTAGTTTATTATAAAGGATCGGTAATAATGGGGGTTATGTGGGTGAGGCATATCAGGGCGAAGGAAAATAAATAAAAACTGAATAATAAACTAATAAAACTAAAACTAAACTATGGTTATGTATAGTAAACTATGGTTATGTTCATATGGAGTCCTTTTCCCGAAACAATATGCTTCTGTTCTGCAGTTCTTAGTGATATGATCAGAAGGCTCTTCGGTTGATTGAGTTTGACTCGAGTAAGGATTAAATTCCGATAA